TTTTAGTATTTACCTTAACATAGTCTTTGTTGACTAAAGTTTGAAAACGTATGAACAAAGTATGTGAACATTAACATTGCAATGCCAAATCAAACAATGGGCACTAATCTGCTGTTGGAAAAGCCTCCACCTCTGGTTCAAGGCTTTCCATCAGATTGTTACGTCTGGCTACAAACTGCATTTGTTGCCATCCAGGTACAAGTTCATTATTGAGGTTTAGAAGGGGCCGATGTACTGACTCATCTCCTTAGAGAAACTGGCTGGGCCAAGTACTAGAACCTCAGTTTTACTGAAATTGCGATGAATCAATGTAACAGATGCATGGCAGACCCGACCACATATTGCACACCTTTAACACTTTTTTTAATTACGGTTGTTGTAACTTCACACACGGCTGCAGCTTTTCAGCTGCCGGCCACACACACCAACAACCACCACATCAGGACTCAGTTCATTCCTCTTAAGCAGGTGAGGCGTAATTGCTGATGCAGCTCCAGCGTGTCAGCCTCCCTGCAGCGGCGCCACAGACCACGCCATGCCACAAGCAAATTTGAATCCATCCAAGTAGTAATGACAGAGAATCATTGATTGTTAACGTTGTTGGGTCTCATGTAAAAGTAAAACTGTTTGTCATCAGCATAGCAGTGGTAGGAAAGTCCATTAAAACAATGAAGTAGATGGCCCATTAAGATTATACAGTCATAAAAGAACAAATGAAAATGTTCTCTGCAGTGGTCATTATAGTGGACAAGAAAAAAGCACTGCTGATGCTTGTCTGTGGAAAGTGGAGAAAACAAAAGACCAGAAATCGTGTCTGCAGTCTGTCATTAAAACTACATTAAACTGTGTGCTTTGCTTTTTTAGATCCCAGTATGCCGAGGTTTGATAATACATTTAATAGACTGAGAGAATCCATTCATTGGAGACGGAAAAAGGAAGTGGATACACTCCCCTCTGAAGACTTGAAGGAAGAAAAAGGTGGGAAGTACAAATACTTTTTAGTGTATTTATTTTTAAATTTCATTGCTTTAAGTATTCCTTTTAACTTTTTGTTTTTACTTTTTAATACTTTTAGTGTAAATATATCTCCTTTCTACTCCTTACATTTTCAAAACAGACTTGCTAGGTGCAGTGCATTTGATGTGCGTTTATATTTCCTGTCATTGTGCACCTTTAAACATCAAGCCGATGCCAAATTTCAACCTCATTGGGCAGAACAATAACACATAAAAGACAATCTTATTAGAGTGTCCATCGCCAATCTTTATTGCTTACAAATCACAAAAGATTGAAATCATCTCTGCAGTCTGTTAATCAGACTTCATTAAACTGTGTACTTTGTTTGTTTCAGATCCCAACAATACTTCTAAGAGAAAGTTTTCTTTTAAACAGAAAAGGGACGAGTATAAACGCTCCTCAATGGACGAAAAAGGTGGGAAGTATAAATACTTTTTTAGAATTAGAATTAGAATTCAACCTTATTGTCATTGCACATGCACAGGTACAGGGCAACGAAATGCAGTTTGCATCCATCCAGAAGTGCTTTATTTGTTCAACCCCATTTAAATATACTTGATATGAGTTTAATTATAATTATTTTTATTATATTTAATTATGTGTATATAGTAATTATGTGTATATAGTACATTGCAGCATTTATTTCACTGTTTAGAAAGATTTGTTTCAATGTTTACTATCATAGATATCAAGAGAAAATTTGTTTTGATCATTTTTTTTTTCCAAAAAAGTGAAAATAAAACTAATTTGGGAACATTGGACATACATTAAAATGGATATGTATTTAAATAGTTATAAAGGTCAGAGGTCCAAAAATCCAGTCGGAAACATGTTATAAATAAAAGTGTTTTCCACAGTAAAATTGTGGAACAAAAAAATAATAATGGCTATAAACTCTTCTTCTGACCTGTTTCATATTTAGGACTGAAAATTTGAGAAAGTATCAAAGCAGTTTAACAGAGCCTGGATGATTCATCTGTTAAATAGTGCTGATAATTTAAAAAGATTTGTCTTTGTTATTGTCCATCAGTGACTCCTACTTTTGAGGAATACCTTGAAATGAAAGCCTTTCGTGAGGCCACTCAGCAACTGATAGACAAGGAGAAACATCTGTTTTGGGAGACAGCTGAGGCCAACAAGGAAGCAGTAGAAAAGCTTGCTGCAGACCATAAAGCCCTTGAAGAGCATGTATGGCACATTCTGCAGCAGAGCTTTTCTCTCAGCACTGAGGAAGCATCAACGTCTGCTCTGAAGTCTGCAGTAAAAGCCATCAACCTTGAGGAAGAGCAGGACCAGCTGTGGAAACAAAATTCTCAAACTCCACCAACCTGGAGGCCCAGCGAGTGGAAGAAGCGCCATGACGAAGTCCTTCAAAAATTAGTAAATGGGCGTATGGATAATCCATCGAGCCCCACTGGTGACCAGGTGAACCAGTCAACTATCCAGGCAACTATCCAGTCCATGGGCACGCAGCTGAAGGACGACCTGCAGTGGGTGGTGGAGGAGGTGAAGAACTGCTACCCACCAGAGATGGACATCTGTAACCTTTATGCAAGACTGTACCTTGAAACTTTCAAGGCCAGGCTCAGAAAGACTGTGGGTTCTGTGGATGACAAGGAATGCAGCTTCCTCCTGCTATGGGTGAAGGAATCTTATCCAGAGTAAGCAATTAGTTTTTGTTTGAAGTAGCATATTATTTTTATGCTGGGATGTCCTTTATTTATTCCTGAGTAATCAATACCTGAGCAATTACAAATACAGAGTGAATACAAATACATGGACAAATATTTATACATCTGTCTTTTAACTGCAAATTTTTGTTGGCTTTCATCCATCCCATCCATTCTCTTCCACTTATCTTTGTCAGCATTGCCGGGGAGTGGGGGGTGGAGCCTATCCCAGCTACCATAGTGAGGGAGGCAGGGTACATCCTGGACAGGTCGCCAGTCTGTCACAGGGCTAACACATAGACACAGACAACCATTCGCACTCACATTCATGCCTATGGGCAATCTTGAATCACCAATTAACCTAACCCCACTAACTGCATGTCTTTGGACTGCGGGAGGAAGCTGAAGTATCCGGAGAGAACCCAGGTAAACATGGGGAGAACATGCAAACTCCACACAGAAAGGCCCTGGACAGGTGGAAATGAACTCAGGATCTTCTTGCTGTGAGGCAGCAGTGCTACCATGCTGATTTCAGTACATTAAGCAACCATTTTACATAATTTCCTACGTATTCTGATTCTGATTCATTTCTGGTGGCTTAATTTTGATACTATTAACCAAGCAATTAGGAAATGCTGTTTGTATTGGAGGTACTATGCTGCAGTGGTTTAAATAATATTTATCTAACTTGACTTGTTCATGTCAATGTAGAGTTTTCTTCACACATTAAGGTTAATTATGGAGTTCAACAGGGTTCTTAGCTGGGACTAATTTCATTTTAAGGCATAGCATTGTCATTGCTACACAGACACACACCAGTTAGTTAAAGAGAAATGCCTTAAAGACATAAAAACATGGATGACCTCTAATTTCCTGCTTCTAAAATCAGATAAAACTGAGGTTATTGTACGTCCCTGAAAAGCTTAGAAATATGGCATTTAACCAGATTTTGACTTTGGATCAATTGGCCTTCAGTAACACTGTGAGGAACCTTGGAGTCATTTTTGACCAAGATATGCCCTTTAATACACATAGAGATTAGAAACATTCTGTCTTGGACTGATGCTGAAAAACTAATTCCTGCATTTAATACTTCTAGTATGGACTATTCCAATTCACTGTGGTCATGTTGTCCTAAAAACTCCCCGAAAACTTTCTTGTTGATCCAAAAAGCTTCGGGAGGAGTACCTACAGGGACTAGAAAGAGAGATCATATTTCTTCCATACTGGCTTCTCTTCATCTGCTAACTGTTGAATTCAGAATCAAATTTAAAATCTTTCTTCTCACATTAAAGGTCTTCAATAATCAGATCTCATCTACTCTTAAAGACGTCTTAGTACCATATCACAGCAATAGAGCACTTCGTAGAATGGAAGGGAGAGCCTTCAGCTTTCAGGCTCTTCTTCTGTGGAACTAGCTCCCAGTGGGGAATCAGAAGACAGCCACCCTACTTTTAAGATGAGGCTTAAATCTTTCATTTTTGACAAAGCATAAACGGCTAGATCAGATGACCTTGAATCCTCCCTTAGTTATGCTGCAGTAGGTCTAGGCTGCTGGGGCCTTCCCCATGAGTTTCTTCTGCACTCACCTCTTTTTTTTTTTAAACCACTCTGCATTTAATCATGACTTATTATTAATCTCCACCTCTCTTCCACAACATGTCTGATCCTGTCTTTCTCTCCGCACCCTCAAGTGGTCATAGCAGATGGCCGCCCCTCCCAGAACCTTGTCTTCCTGTAAATAGGGAGTTTTTCCTTCCTACTGTTTGATCATACAGGGTAGTTTGATTGTTGCAGTTTTCTCTGTGTTATTGTAGTGTCTTATCTTACAATATAAAGTGTTTTGAGATAACTGATGTAGTGATTTGGCGCTATATAAGTAGAACTAAAGTGAATTAAACTGAAATAACAAATGACATGTAGACTAAATACAACTTGGGCTGTATCTGCTCTGTGTACCAGAATCCTTGAAAAACCTGAGCTGGCCAGTAATATCAATACTGAAGCGCTGGGAAACCTGCTTCCTGACGAGTTACTGAAACCTCTGGAGGAGCAGTACCTCAGCAAACAACAGGTAACACAGGATTTGTTGTTATACATTTAGCTTGCTTTGCACGTTTTTAGAATGCTGTTCAAAAAAAGATATAGTTTGTTTTATTATAGCTCATACAATATTGTAGATATAATAGTGATAGCGGTGTGTTGTTGTGTGTTTAGAGTGACCTGATGATTTATATTGACCGAGTATTGGATGAAGCAAAGAAAGAGTGGGATCAAGGAAAGGAGCCGACAAGAGATGATGGTTGCTACGCCAGTCCCGTGGCCTATGATGTCATCCAGGTAGAGTTGCCATAGAGTTGCTACAACTTGATATAAAAGAGGCTGAAATGCTTAGCTGGAATGCAGTGTCACCAATACTTTTATAAAGCTTGAATAAAGATGTATCAACACAAAATGAAAGGTATCACTTGTGTTGGCTAACTTTAAAGGTCCTTATACTGAGTTTTGTATTTTTTTTCTTTTTTTTGTTGTTTTGTTTTTTGGCGGGCGGGTTGAGGTCCCCAATTCCGGGCCTCCCAAACGAAAGGTTTTACTTAAAGGGGGCGGCTTTTTTTTGTTTTTAAAACTTAGGCGGGAGGTTGGAACCTTGAACTTCGGCTTGGAAACTTAAAAAAACTAGAAACGATGCCAGAAATGGAGAATTAAGATTTAATCAAAGCATAACACAAGATAACACAGAGAGGGTAGTTAATGACACGACTACGGACAGAGGAAAACACGGGGATTAAATACACCAGGGAGTAACGAGGGAAAGAGAAACAGGAGGAAAACAGCTGGGACTAATCTGACATAACGAAATGGACAGGAAGCAAAATTAAAAACATTAACAAAGGAAGCAAGACTGTAAAAAAGGAAACAGGCACAGAGACGCGGACTTGACAAGAAGACACGGCTGAAAGGGGAGACGCTAGACAGGAAACTAGACAAGGGACTTGTAACACATGGGAGACATGGAGGCATAACCAAAGAACTAGAAAACTAGAAAAAACTAGAAAAAAAAGATACAACCAGAACTTAACTGAAACAAATTATTAATTTAAAAAAAAAAAATTAAATTAAATTAAATTATTAAATTAAAATATTTCTAATTGTTGACCATAATGAGAGGCTTTGAATACATGGCTATATCACAACTGTGCAATAAAAAATGTTGTGGTGAAATAATGACATAACATTGTTTTGATCATAGGAGAACAAAACGTTCTCTGTTATTTACTTTAGAAGTGTCGACAAATATTTTCCAGCCTGCTGCACATATTAACCAAACTGAAAAAGACTTCTAGAAACTTTGATAAAAAGATTAACAAACAAATAAAGGACAGTCATTTTTGTTTGGATCAATTATAGAAACTCATTTACTGTCAGATCAGAGTCACAGTTTCAAACCCTCCCATGGTTCTGTAGTTTAATCACTTGGGTTTGTCACTAACATTGTAAAGCACTGGGTTTGGTTCCTGGTGTTTAACTGGATCTGAAAATTATGCTTTGAGTACTTAAAACTGCCACTGATTTGTCAATCCATTTGTCTTCAGTTTATCAACGGCATCGTGACATCAGCGGACAAAATTGTAGGAGACCGACACAAGGCCCAGAAAATAACATCCAACCTGACAGACTTCATGCAGAGGTAACAAGGCTTCACAAGGCTGTCTTTTAAATATTTAAATTTGAAAATACATTTTAGTTTATGTTTGGTAATAACAAGATAATAGAATTGAAAACTGTTTTTAATCTTCTGCAGGTATAAAGAGTTTCATGAAGACATCATAAGGCAGAACAAACGGCACAGCAAAGCTTTCATAAAGGCAAACCTCAGCTGTGTCAAACAGTTCAGGTATGTTTGTGATCCAGTTAGATGGAAATTCAGATTTTATCTTCATCATAACAGGCGAATACGTCACTGTGAGCTAATGTGTCCTGCGTGGTCTGTCTAAAGGGACTTCTTTGAGAAGCACGATTTGTGCCCAGAGGATGTGAAGAAAAACTGTTTGCAGGTCCTGACTGAGATGAAACAGTCTGCCCACACTTATTTATTAACTCCTGTGCACAAGAGCCTCAAGGTAAGTTCTTTACAACTGCAGATATCAATAATCCTCAGGATTAAATCCTAACATGTTTTAATCAAAGATTTTAAAACAATGTGTTATTTGTTCCTCACACAGCCACACTACCAGAAACTGGGAACCAGTGACTGGCTGAAGAAGAACACGTTTGAGAAGCTGCTGAACAGCACTGAAGACGAGCTTCAAGAACTTCAGGGTTCGAGTCAGTCCTCTTACCAGGTAAAAGGAGGAAACTTTATAATGGACTGAATGGCCATTATTGCCTTCATTGTCAACTTTTTAGTAAAAGGATTATGATGCACTCTGATTACTTGTATACTTGGGCTAAATTCAGGAGCTGATTGGTCAGCTTCACCAGGAAGTGACAGTAGAATATGTCCGGAGGCTCCTGAAAGGAGAGGTCAAACTGAAGGACAGCAATGAGCAGCAGAAGGCTTACGAGACTGTGAAAGAAAATGCAGAGAAACTGCACGAGCTGTTTGCCAGAATGGTGAGACTTGATCTTTAATGCACACTTTAACTGAGACATGAATAAAACCCAACAGTGATCAGATTTCTGCTGAGCTGTGGAAAACATAAGTATAAGAATCAGCTCAACTTCACATTTATTTGGTTTGGAAGTTTTGATTAAAAGTTCTATAAAATTGAAAAAAAAAAAGCAGCTGACTAAAATGTGATCCTCCAAGCCTGGATATAGATGAAATACACTCAATGGAAAACCAATGGACTCATTCATGAAAAACAAAAGTGTGACCCATAGAAAATGATGGACCACTTTTTTCCCCACTTGCTTTATATTGTTAAAAAGATTTTTACATTACACATTTGTATCTGTAGCATATAAATTAATATTTTATACATAGATTGTACATGGAGCAAAACATGGTAGAAATGAAGAAAAACCCTCTACTTAAGGACAACTGGACTGCAGTTACAAATGTATCAAATATCTGAATATTAGTTGATGACTACGTGGTGCATAAATAAAGACAATATTCATGAAACTGAAAGAACGTATCA